AAAAAAAAAAAAAAAAAAAAAAAAAAGACCAATCTAGAATTACCTTCGAGAATCCGCCGCGGCTCATTCTCCTGAACACGCATCTCATACTGATACCCTTCATTAAACCCGCCATGCGGCGTATGACTGACCTCGACACTGCCACCACCGGGCAAGAAGTCATCTGACCGACCGAGCCCTTTTCCATACAGACTGGCCAGAAATTCCGTGGCAGAGTTGCGGTGGAAATACGGTAGTCGGAAGCTGTTAGATGCAACATCCCAGCGTGGACCGAACCAGAGAAAGTCAGCCAAGGGAGTGTTTGGGTCGCGGGATTTGGCAGTAAGGACACAGTTGACGGATGGGTCGGTGTGGTCGATGGATGTGGCATTCTGGGAGGCGAATTTGGTCAAGTCATACTGACAAAACGTTAGTCAAATAATAATACCACAGAGGAAAAGAGGAAAGGAAAGCAACCTTGTAGGGAACGACGTTCCCATGCCAAGCGAGTAGATCAAATGGCGTATGATCCTGATCAATCGAATTATACAGGCCATTACTCTTGTTCACAATCGTCCAGTCCGCATGCAACTCATCATCTATATAGGCAACCGGATGCAAAAAATCTCTCGGGTTTGCCAACCCATGACCACCCAGCGGCCCAAGATCTGGCAGCTCCCACACCGATCCCCAAACCTCCGTAACATAGCCCCTCGCCTCGGTATGACCCGGGGCTAGACGAATCGCAAACCGTACACCGCGTTGCACAACGCAGATTTCACCAGGCTGCAAAAACAACTTCCCAAACTCGGTTTGAATATCCAGACTCCCCTGCTGCGCAACAAGTAGAAAATCGCCGTCGAGGTTGCAGAATGCGCGGTTCTGCATGTCAGAGTTAATCATAAACACGTACAGGGCAATGCCTTCTCTCAGGTTGGGGTCTCCGCTGCCGCCCAAAGTGTGGAGGCCGTCAACGAAATCGATTTTTTGGGTGGCTGGTGGGAAAGGAAAGGGGGCCCATTCGGCTTGCTCGACGAGAGACTGCACCTTGGGATTGAGGGACAGGAAACAGTTTTCAATGTGAGCTTCAGTGGCAATACTGTCGTTGTATCCATCTGTAGGGGACTCAATATCAGCTTCGGGCTTTTAAGGAAATGGAAATGAGAATCTCACTGTGAGCAGCCGCTGGACGCACACGATACATATACGTGCTAAAATTGGCCTTCCGAGGTGCCGCAAATGCCGAATATGTGATTCCCTCAGTATACAAGCCGAAACGGACCTCCTGGGGGTTATTTTGGCCGGCGGGCAAGGTCCCAGGGACTACTTCTGACTGGAAACGGTTGCCCCAACCAGCCTGGTATTCGTAAGGGTCATTGTCGCGCGTGGGTTTTCGGGTTTGCGTGTCAGTGTAGTGAAAGACCTTTTGCAGGTCCTTGATGGGTTTTCTTTCCTTGACAGGGGGTAGTGTTCCAACACCCATGATGAGGGGATTCAGTGTGCTCCGAATGGTCTTGAAGGACAAAAGAAAAGGAAAAGGGAAAAAAAAAAAGAGAAAAATTAAGATAAAGGGAAAAATGGGATATCCACTGGGCCCTTATTAAAGCTAACTACGCACTACAACAGCGATCAAGTTGTGAGCTGATATCCCTGAAGCACACACTCGTCTTCTCCACCTCGAAGTTCACATGGGCAGGCATAGGTACGAGGGGTACTACATGGTGACGTGAGAAAGTGGGACGAGAAACAAACAAAGAAAGGAAAAAGCGGCGCAGGACATGAATCCTAGGGCAGGCTGCGTAACCAACATGGAATTGCATCGATGTGTATAGTCCGTGGGCGCCCGCAGTAGTGGGGGTGCCCGCCGCAGTTCCTGCAAAGGGGATGGTGGACCCACCTGGTTCGTGGGGTGGAGTGGGATGTGGGGCTGGGCTGAAGTATACAGCTTACACCATACAGCATTCTGCATAC